GTTATTAATATATTAATAAACAATGGTTGGTGTACCAATATCATGGCTGATCGGTGGATAATATTTGCTATTTTAAAATAACAATAATCATGTTTCCTTTTTCTCTTTTTTGTATAGAAAAAGGTTGCTTATTTTTATTAACCCCTTATGGACCCTGTCTTCATTACAATGGACATCACATGTCAGCCCATGTGGTTCCTGAGCATTTCATCAAATTTAAAGCCTGAAGTCCATGGGAATGGACAATTGTCATCCAATCAAATGGTGGTTAGGTTCGGCATGTTGTAATAAAAATCCACTACACTAAAAAGCAGCATGGCATCATTTCACCCCAGACACAGACGTAAGCCACATTTACAATATTGTTATTCAGATTTATTGATATGTTTGCCAATATTCTATATGTAAAAAATAGTGATTGCAGCTTCTAGTTAAAGTTTAAAATCTTTTGTAACACCGCAAGCTTTAGATCAGGATTTTTTTCTGTTCATTAGAATGTATCATGGGTACAGAATCTGAAATCTCCAGTAATGCTGATTGAACCTATATATATATAACTATATTGACATACTAATTCATTGTTGAAACAATTTTATATGCAGAATATACAGATCTTGAAATTCTTGAATGCATAGCAGATGAAAATATTTCACATGTGGAGTGATGAGGAAGATGAAGATGAAGTTTGTTATAAGCAAGGTGCAATCTAAATAACAAAAACCTCAAAAATTAAAGTAAAAATGGTACAATCTTAATGTTTGTGATTTAAAAAAGAAAAGTAAATTTCAAGATTATACTAGCAATGGTGTATGTATTTTGTATTTTATGTTTGTATATTATTCGGGAATATATATATATATATATATATATATATATATATATATATATATATATATATATATATATATATATATATATATATATATATATTTATAATTTATAGGAGGCTCAAGAACTAAAAACATACTTTTACATTTGGTCACACTTTATTTTGGACCATCTGTAAAGAGACCATCCATTTGTTGAATTTAAATTACATTGCATATGATATTAAGCAACGACGCAGTAGGTAGTGCTGTCATCTCACAGCAAGAAGGTTGCTGGTTTGAGCCTCAGCTGGGTCAGTTGGCGTTTCTGTGTGGAGTTTGTATTTTCTCCTTACATTTGCGTGGGTTTCCTCCAGGTGCTCCGGTTTCCCCCACAGTCCAAAGACATGCGGTACAGGTGAATTGGGCAGGTTAAATTGTCAGTAGTGTATGAGTGGGAATAAGTGTGTGTGGATGTTTCCCAGAGATGGGTTGTGGCTGCTGCGTAAAAACGTACTGGATAAGTTGGCGGTTCATACCACTGTGGCGACCCCAGATTAATAATGGGACTATATAAGCTGAAAAGAAAATGAATGAATGATATTAAGCAGACAGTCTACTAATACTCAAATGGACCATCAGCATTTTTCAGAAAGTTGAAACATAATTTGGGTCTGAAGGGGTTAAGTGGAAATGCAAATGAAACAACAAATATACATTGGATGCCCGCCGCCCTGGACTTGAGCCAATAAAACCATCAATAAATCAATTATTGATAAATTAAATAAATTTCTTCATAGTTTTGTGGTAGTTTGCATCATGCTTATGAATACACATATGATTAGGTGATCCTAATACATTTGCCTGTTGATGCTAATTAAACTGAGTTTGGTGGAGTTTGGGCAGAATTTTAATATCACCACACCTGATCAAAAGGCTGCTGCACAGACTCTGGTGCCAAACACTGACAGTGGACATTTATTTTATTTTATTTACTTTATTTAGACTTTTCAGCATCAATTTTCTACAAGGGAAGCAATACGCGTCGTCTATTTGTTAATTTTATTTTAGAATTTATTTTTCAAGTAGGCTAGCTAGCCTATGGGTGTACTGAAGCTTCCTGTCACTTCAATTCACACGGAAGTGCATCAGGTAAACAGTTGAAGATTAAGCTCTGTGTACATGAACTGTGCAAATCATAATGTTTCTATGAATGTACATTTTTATGGAAGATTACGTAAACTCTCTGTAAAAAAAAAACAACTAAATGCAATCTGCACTGAGATACTGAGAGCAGTCCATTCAGAGAAAACGAGCACTCAACTGGCATGAACAGCGTCATAAACCTCATAAAACAAATGAACCCGTGAATCGAGCATTGAACAAAAGGCGATGACATCAAAAGAGAGCAGAAGAGTCCGTGTCAATATAGCCCTTAAACAGATTTCAGGCTCTCTTTGATAACAGCACTTGTTTTGGCACGACACTCCTCTCATGTTCATAGTCAGAGCTTTGAAAGTTAGCTCTGTCTGGGCCATTTGACACTGACAAAAAATTGATTATTCATGAGGCCTCTGACCTCTTCATCGTCTTCTTGGTATTCATACACATGCAGGGCAATGGACCGTGGACATGATTCTTTCTGTGGACATAATCGAAACGGATATATATATATATATGTGTGTGTGTGTGTGAGTGTCAGTTCTAATGTCTCTTTTTTTATTAAATGATTTAGTATGGATTAGTTATTTCTAATTATTAACAGTATAAGTAATAATGGTTTACTGTATAAATTATAGATCTACAGTCATTTCCATATATGTTATATACATTACACAATATCTATCTATCTATCTATCAATCTATCTATCTATCTATCTATCTATATCTGTCTGTCTTTATATCTATATGTCTGTCTGTCTGTCTATGAGAAATACTAAAAAAGACACATTAAAAATCAAAAAAACAAAAATGTGAAATGTAAATGCATTATTTCTTACCCCATTCTTAACTATTGAGGTTGTGGTGTAATTATTGTTTGTCCATGATGTCACTGAGTTATTTCCATGATGTTATTCCTTATTTACTTTTACTGCATTAATATTTGGAGAACATTAGTTTTCCATTTATTACTGTTCGTCATCATGACTTAGTCATGAATTTGTCAATGTTTAACCTTATTTTATTTTATATTACCATTTTACTTGAAACAGTCTAAATGCTATCTATCTGTTGCTTTCCTTGACATGGAGTTTGGTTGAGCGTTTGTTTGGGCATTTAAACACTTAAGCATCTGTTGGGAGATGAATGAATGTGTTTTTCGGATAAGAGAAACAGTCTTGAAACAGTCTAAACGCTATATTAAGTTATGCTCTTGTAAATGTCTGTGTATGTGAGTGTATGCTTATATTATCTGTTACTTATATATTTTCTGTTAAAATATTGTATTTTATTCAAAATATATTTTCTGTTAGGATATTTGAATGTCAGAAAATGTGTTGTGTATGAAACTAGTGATCTACTGAATCACATTTTAATGATTGTCTCCCGTATATCATGTTAAAAAAGTAAGTTTGGGTGAGCGTTTGTTGGTCATTAAACACTCAAGCATGTAGTGGAAGATGAATGAATGTGTTTTTCAGATAATATACTTGTTATTTGATCTGAATATATTTTAGCTTTCATTAATAATACTTAAATCTGAGCATTTCCTAGTCAAGAAGTGAACTAAAATATTTTGTGGAATTTTTATATACTCAAATACAGCACAAAACATCTGTTGTGTTATGTGGTTTCTGCTAAAATTGTTTTAAATATCTTAAGTAATGATATTATGAATGTGTGTATGTGTAACTTATATATTTTCTAGTAAAATATTCTAATTTTTAAACAACATATATTTTCTCTTAGAGTATTAGGGTTGCACTGTGGCGCTGTGGGTAGCAAATTCGCCTCCCAGCAAGAAAGTCGCTGGCTCAAGCCTCAACTTGGTCAGTTGGCGTTTCTGTGTGGAGTCTGCATGTTCTCCCCATGTTGGTTTGGGTTTCCTCCGGGTGCTCCGGTTTCCCCCACAAGACCAAAGACATGCAATATAGGGGAATTGGTATAGGCTAAATTGTCTGTACTGTATGTGTGAATGGGTGTGTATGGATGTTTCCCAGTGATGCGTTATAACTGGAAGGGCATCCGCTGCGTATAACATATGCTGAATAAGTTGGCGGTTCATTACGCTGTGGCAACCCCAGATTAATAAAGGGACCAAGCCGAAAATAAAATAAATTAATTTTAGAGTATTTTAATGTCTACAAATTATTCTTATTCTCAATATGCCTGAAGATAGTTTTGTATATGATACTGATACACTAAATCACATTTTAATGGTTGTCTTCTGTATATCATGGTAAAAATGTGATTATTATTTAAATGTTTATTCTATTTGTGTGCATGTTCAAGTTGAGTTATTTATAGAGCACATTTAAAAATAGTCACAAGACTGACCAAAGTGCTGTACATAAGACAAAGTAAAATAAAAAACAAATAAGTCAAGAGAAACGACGGAAGAAATGTAAGAATTTAGCAGTAGAAAGGAATATTAAAATAATATTAAATAGCTTTTAAAAACTACGTTTTAAGGAGTACAAAACATTCATCTAGTTTGTGTGTGTGTTCATGCATATCATATCGTTTGATTCAGATGTAGCTCGACCATCTTTTACATATGCAGCCCGTGTGGAGCTGTCCACTGATGCGGTGCTGAAACGTCCTCGTGACGCAAACTGTTACGCCAACTATTTATCTATTTCCAAACCTTCCGTTCCTTCTTATTTATCCAGAAGTCTAACTTCAATCATAGGCTACATATGCAAGTCCTATTAGGATAGTGAAATAGAATCAGACAAAACCTAATTGTTTTTACTTAGCCTACATCCTAACTCGTGTGGACAACACATCCAGAATATTCAATGTTAGACATTTCTATGATGTATGAGAGCAGAATCGTGCATGTAATCATTCTAAACAAAAGCTCTCCCTGTTTTTTGCTTGATATCTCAGTGCATTAATGGTCGTCGGCTATTTATAGAGAAACATTCCCCTCCTCTTCCATGCGCAATTCACCCCGCCCGACTCCCCCGGGACCCGAGCGTCGTCCTACCCCAGGTACAAATTGACGTCAGAGCAGTCGTAATTTGACGTGTAAACATCCCTTCCCCGTTGCACGACTCTCTCATTGGTGGCTGTTCAATTACACGCTCACTCTGCATCAGAATTAACAGGAGAACCCAGCGAGGGCTTTCGTAGCTTAACTGATTTTTTTCGCCCCCTGTGTTTACATACATTTTCTGTATTTATTTATTAATTAACTTATTCCGCCGTTTTGTATTCGTCGCGATCATCCAGATCATTTTTTTAAAGTGGTTGTAATTGATTTGAAATGGAAGAAAGATGTCGTCCAATGTTGCTGTGCAGTGTTCTTGCTCTGGTGTGTGCGCTCGTGTCTTCAGCCGTGGACAGGCAGTATCTCAACGAATGGGCGGTGGAGATTCCTGGAGGTGTCCAAAATGCACGATCCATCGCCGACGAGTTCGGATACCAATTAGTCCGACAGGTACTGGCTTTTTTGTTCCACTGTTTTCCACATCTGGCTCTGCTTTGCATCAGTGTTGCATGCAATTGCAAGTTCGTGTGGTTGTGTTACGCGTTTATTCATGACAACACTGTTGCTTTCCTCGACATGGAGTTTGGTTGAGCGTTTGTTTGGGCATTTAAACACTTAAGCATCTGTTGGGAGATGAATGAATGTGTTTTTCGGATAAGAGGCTTGTTATTTGATCTGAATACATTTTGGTTGTCTTTATAATCCTTAAATCTAAGCGTTTTCGAGTCAATAAGTGAGCAATATAAATACTAAAATATGTTTAATCGAATTTTTACATGGTAATTCACTCAAAAACAGTACAAAACACCTGTTGTGTCATGGAAATGAAAATAAAATCAAGTAAAATGTAATGCGGAGTACGTTTTTCCAATTGTTAATTCTGTTTTTTGTTTATTGTGTGTTTACCTTGTATTCCTCAGTTGTGGGGACCAAACAAAAATTAATAAGTCAATTTGACCATGTAGGGACATTTTTTTTTTATCCTTTTCGATGAAAACTCAGAAATCACAGAATAAATTATTCTGAAAATGTAGATTGTTTACTTTGTGGGTTGTGTTTAGGGGTAGGTTTGGGCTATGGGGATAAAATAAATAGTTTGTACATTATAAAAATCATTACGTATATGTGAAGTCTCTTTAAAGATAACTTTACAAGTCTATGTACATGCCCACTAGATAAGACAGATGGGAACTGCCTTTGAGAGTTGTGTTTAGGGCTAGGTTTGTGGTACGGGGATAAAATATACACTTTGTAGAGCATTAAAATTATTAGGTCTATGGGAAGTCTCCATAAAGATACCTGTACAAGTCTATGTCCAGGGCTACTAGATCAGACAGATCTACCTTTCAGGATTGTGTTTAAGGGTGTGGGGATAAAATATAGAGTTTGTACAGTTTAAAAATCATTATGTCTATGGGAAGTCTCCATAAAGATATCTTTACATGTCTATGTCTAGGCAGACTAGACCAAACAGATAGGAACTGCTTTTAGGGGTTGTGTTTAGGGGTAGGTTTAAGGTATGTGGATAAAATGTACAGTTTTTACAGTATGAAAATAATCACGTTTATGGGAAAATATAGCTGTACAAAATGGGAACTGCCTTTGAAGGTTGTGGGGTTTGGGTTACGGGGATAAAATAAATATTTTGTACAATATAAAAATCATTATGTCTATGGGAAGTCTCTATAAAGATAGCTGTCAAGTCTATGTCCAGGCTGACTAGACAGATGGGAACTGTCTTTGAGGGTTGTGTTCAAGGTTATGTTTGGAGTATGTGGATAAAGTATACAGTTATACAGTATAAAAATCATCACATCTATGGGAAAATATAGTTTTACAAGATGCAAACTGCCTTTGAGGGTTGTGTTTAGAGGTAGGTTTGTGGTACGGGATAAAATATGGAGTTTGTACATTTAAAAAAACATTCTTTCTATGGCAAGTCTCCTTAAAGATAGCTGTACAAGTCTATGTGTGTGTGTGTGAAGTAGCTCCAGGCCGACTAGACCAGACAGATGGGAACTGCGTCATTATGGCCAGGCTTAATTTAGCTCTAAATATGAACCTTTCTCTTCAGTCAATTCTCTTCCTCTCTCTCTTTCTCTCATTTGTCTGCAGATTGGTGCGCTGGAAAACCATTATTTATTCAAGCGGCACAGTCACCCTAGCAGGACCAAACGGAGTGCAGATCATATCACCAAACGTCTGTCGGAAGATGACAGGGTATGAGACTTTTCATAACCCCTTTGCATTGCTTTCACTCTATATATGATATGTAATGCGAATTTGCTCAGAAACACCAATGAGTATCAAACAGGGTAGACTTTTATCTGGCGTTTTTAATTGCATTTACAAACAGTAAATCATTCTTAAATATCAGATAAAAAGCTAAAAGGTTGTTTTTGTCATCATTGCACTGTAAAAACTATATGATCAATAAGTTCTGACAGCATATTTTTAGGTCATTGTAACTTATTGAACTTAGTTAATCATGTTCTAACTTAATTTTGTAAGTTAAGCAAGCTGTTTTAAGTCAGTTTAACATAATATAAGTTTAAATGACTCATAAGGTTAATTTGATTCAGCTTAAAAATGTAAGAAAACCAGGATTTTTTAACAGTGCTAACTGGTTGTGAATGCCACCCGTGGCTTCTTCCGTAGGTGTCTTGGGCCGAACAGCAGTATGAGAAACGGAGGGCCAAACGGGCGCCGCTGGGGGTCGAATGTAAGGACTGTTCAGTGGACAAACTCTTCGATGACCCCATGTGGAACCAGCAGTGGTATCTGGTGAGTCTTGTTGTCTTAATATTCCTTTGGCAAAAGTGGGATTTGGATTTCTCTGCATTATTTCAGATGTTGAAACGGAAAGTATTTTCTCCCATTCATGGTGTCCATTTAGGTGTAAATCTGGAATCAAAGCTAGATAAACTAACTTTAAAAGATTTTTGTTTCAAATGTTAGTAAATTTAAATAAAAAACTATAGATTATTGCTAAAAACGAAAACATTATAAAAATTAGCTATCCAAAAATTTTAGAGAGATGAGAGAAATCACTTCAGACTTCAGAGCTTTTTTGGCACAATTTAACTTCTAATTGTAAAAACAACTTATCCAGTTGTCCAAAAACTCTAGAAGCATAACAAAATTGACCATAAATCAGTTATTATAAATATAAAATACCATGCATATCAGTAGTTTGGCTACATAGGGTCTGACAACTGATCAACCATATTAAATGCTATTCACTCTTCAAAATAAAAGTCCTTTATTAGCAACAATTATTTAAAAAATTATGTTTTGAATCCAAAAAAACATTTTATTTCACAAAATCATCTTTAGATAGTTGCAATCTCCTTCAAACTAAGAAATTATGATGACCTAATGGCTCTTTTGGGAATCAGAAACTTCAATGAAAAAACAACTATAGGTTAAGAAATGTGCCGTTATTCTATGTGCGAAGAGCATTTAATTAATCAGGGTATCTGTGGGGTCTTAAAAAGTCTCAAATTCACTGAAATATTGTGTTGTAGGTCCTAAATCATTTTAGACAGGCCTTATGTAAGCTTTACCCAAACGGACCAACACCCATCCAATCACCAACGGTCTATTTCTATAAAAGTTTTAACAGTATTTACAATATGGCTTAATTATCTTTCTTACAATAACATTTGTTTTAAATGTTTTTAAGGTTTTTAACTGGGCCATTTTTAAAAAATCCTTAGCGTGTAGCCTTAAAGTCTTAAAAAGGTCTTAAAAAGTCTTAAAGTTGAATTGATGAAGCCTGTAGAAACCCTTATTAATATAAATAACTGTATTTATTTATTCATATTTTATTATTTAGGATATTTGTGCAAATAGAAGATTCTAAAAATGGTACATGAACCATCAACACTAAAGAACCTGTATATACATACACAAAATTTCTCTAAAGCCTCACCAATCACAGCAGATGTGACTAAAAGCCATTGTAACAATCCTCTTCAGGCTGATGTAATACATTTCCGGTCTGCAGGCCTTCATTACTGGGTCAGTTGTCCCTCTGGACTGTGTGCGCAGTGTTTTCAGGCTTTCAGAGTTCATAGTATGGCTAAACAAAAAAATGAGATTGTAAAGGAAACCTCCCTTTAATCCCAAACAACAGAAGAGCCAATCACGCATTAGTACCAATTTACCAAAACACAATGGATTGATGGGTTTATCTTATGGATGGCCAAGCTCTTAATGCCAGAGAATGGCTTCTGCAGAGCCACAGATGGGAACGGTTCAGCCGGCTCTAATATGGATCATGGTTTATATAGCAAGTCACTCTAATCAAATTGAAAACCTCCATTTGCATTTCCCACACAAGGATTAATTTTTTTGGGCAAACATTTTATTCTAAAAAGCAATTTAGTGGGGCATGAACCGACGGTGACCTTTTGTTCCTTTTGCTTCAACAAGTGTGCTGCTTCTAAACCTCTTTTAGTTTTTTTGGGTGAGCTCTTAACCTAATGGCTCAAAAAGTTCCTCCCCAACTACATTTTAAACCTTGTCACTAAATTTAGCTTATTAGCAGACGTCTGTGTCTCCGCTGATGCTGAATGAATACACCAGAGATACTAATAAAAATGAAGTACACTGCATTTTAGGGAAATAACTATGCAGAATATTTCATTTAACATTAATATTGTTTTCAAAACAAACTTAGTTTGATCTTAAAGCTCACAAATCTTTAGGATTTTTAAAAATACTTTCAAAAATAAGTCATGATTAATTGCTAAATTGTGCAGTTTATGTGTAAATTTTACACGCTCAGAAATAAAGGTACAAAATCTATCACTTGGGCGGGGTGCTTTTCAAAAGGTACACTATTGTACCGTACAGGTGGACATTAGTACCCTTAGAGCAGGGGTTTACAACCATGGGCGCGAGACATTGAGGTGTGCACTTGAGTAAATTATGATGACAATTTTTATGTGTTCACTAGTGAATCTGATTAATGTTAGCTCCACATCTAACTATCAGGTACCTGTAGAGTTTTATGCGTTCGAGTAAAACATATAAAAATAAAATGGACCGGGTGCTTTTTAAAATGAATGACGCTGAATAAAAATTAAAACCAGTGAGCCGTCTGACAAAAAAGTACCCTTCTGAATCAAATCAGCAGGATGCCCTTCTGGATCTTTCACTTACTTTTGAAGACACTACTGACTGCGTTTATATGGACATCTGTGATCTAGTTAATTGCCTTAATAGACAATAATTTAATTAAGGTGTTTACGTGAATTGCTTTCATGTAAGAGTTTCCTGTAATTTTGGGTGACTTTAACTGCAGTTCGGCAGTTTCACATTCACTCATATACATTTCGTTCATGCCCTTGTGGCAAACTGGGGTATTAGACACAAATTAGGAGTAAGGACTGGTGGAAGAGAGTTGTTTTAATGGAATTTGATGCCGCATGCCGAATGAAAGAACAAAACCTCCTCATTTCACGATCTGAGTGTCTCCAATCCTTTACTGACAGCCGTGAGTGTGGATTTTGTCAGAAAATATGGCAAAAAGTCCTACATGACGGTAATAGTTTGATTGCGGTGTTTACTTCAGTAATGCCACAAATATATGCATACTCCACATCTTAATTCCATTTCTGTTTAGCTCAGTAATGACATTAGTCGGATGAAGGTCATCTATTAAAGTATTGGTGTCTATTCTATCTATTAAAGTATTAGTGAAATTTTACATTTTTGAAATTTGGGGATACTTTTGTACCTTTAAGGTTGCCTTATATACTTTAAGTGTAACTTTTGTTACCTTTTGTACATTTTTTAGGTATTAATATGTATCTTTAAGGACTTGTTAGGAACAAAAATGTACTTGGAATGGTACTGCCTCATAAACAGATTTTATACCATTATTTCCGAGAGTATACCATTAAAATGATAGTTGGCACAAATTAAAAACATAAAATTACATGTTTATCATTTGATTATGTCAGTTTTTTTTTATTATTATTATTATTTATATGGTCGGCATGGCAGCTCAGTGGTTACCTGTCGCCTTACAGCAAGAAAGTTGCTGGTTTGATTTTTGACAGGGCAAGTTTGCACTTCCCCCACAGCCCAAAGACATGCACTACAGGTGAATTGGATTAACCAAACTGGTCATAGCTTATGAGTATGTGTGTGAATGTGAGAGTGTATGGGTGTTTCCCAGTACTGGGTTGGGGCTGGAAGGGCATCCGCTGTGTAAAGCATATGCCGAAATATTTGACTGTTCATTTTGCTGTGGCAACCCCCGATAAATAAGGGACTAAGTCGAAGGAAAATTAATGAATGTATTATTTATATAGTTTATATATTATATATTAATATATAGTTATAAATTAATATAATTTATAACTATATATTTAGCTCAAAATTAAAGTTTGTAATGCTCGAATTCCTTTAAAAGCTGGTTGGTTTACCTTATAAGTGTTTATCACAGAATCAATTTTAAATCCCATGAAAATGAAAAAATACTACAGTCGCAGGCTGCTGACAAGTGGGCGTCCACTGCTGCTGCGCTCCATTGGTCAGTCTGAGTTATAAGGCAGTGAAGGCAGCCGAAAAAGAACAGAGAACGAAAGAATGACGTTCGATCTTCAGGCCTGAAAGGGTGGGTAGAAAAGAAGAATATTGATTTATAGAGGAGAAAGACAGCTCATGGAAAAAGATTACGCTTCACTAGGGAGGATGGCTGATAATTCAATTAAAGATGACTCATATCATATCCCGCTCTCTATTGAGAAACACGGTGAGCTTAAATTCACATTTTAGCTTTATTTTGCTTTCTGACGACCTGAAAACAGCTGATGAAAAACATTGAAAAATAAGATAGCATATATTGCATTATTCAACTAATATCATCTCAGATATAACCTTTATTAGTAGGTTCCCACTCAAATAGTGCTGTCAAAATGCTTAGAAGTATTTTTTTAATAGTTCTGTGCTAGTCTGAGCTGTAAAACAAATCTGTAAAATATCCCGTTAAAAAACAGCAGCTGTGGTTGCCAGAACTGTAGAAACCGTAACAGAATTTCCTAAATGTTATGGTAAAGTACTGTATTTCATTAGAGTAGAAATAAATTCATAACATTTACACTCTCCCGAAACCCTTTTTCCAGATCTTTTTGAATAAAACGCCTACTTTACTACATCCAATCGGGTCGCCGTAGAAAAAAATAAGCCACGCCCACTGTTTTCTCATTTAATATTCTTTTTCTCTAGGAACTGTGTCACAATATTTAAAAAAAAACAGTTGCAGCTTCCTGGTTATGCGGACTTGAATCACACACCCAATGGGCTCTATGCACGGCGGCGCGTGACGCATTTCCGGTAAAATTTAAGACCCCGAGCCAACTTCCGCCGATCGTACAGTACAGTGCTACAACAGGAGCGCTACTGATAAAAACAAGTAATGTTTTGGACAGTTGTCTTAATGTTTTATGCCATTATAGCACACTTATATACGTTTATGTCAGCTACATAAATATGACATTTAAACGTTTAAAAGTGTCATTTCAAAGACGTGAGAACAGTACTTATAGCTACCACTGCTGTGTTCAGCAACGCACAGCGTCAGAAATTGAACTCTTACCTTAGTTTCCACACGTTTCCAAAAGACAAAGTCGTGCAGAAGAGGTGGGTTGTTGATATTAAACGTGAGAATTTTACAGAAACAGAAAAAGACAAGAGTGTAGCTGACATTTTCAGTCTAGCAAACTGATGGAGGCTCGAGTGCCAACCGGATGCAGACATTTAAATAAAGG